TGTTGCATTATTGCCGGAGGCAATTTTTTTTCTCTGATTTCCAGTGGTCACTTCAAAATTCATAACACCTCTGGATTTTGTCCAAATTAAAAGTTATTACAACCTTTGGAAAGCTGGGTGTTTAGGTCTTTAGTCTATGTCAATAGGCTTTAAGGTGGCTTCAGACATGCGGTATTCGCCAAATGCCGATTATCGCCGAATATTTGCCAAGTCTCGAGATGCTCATCTTGCCATTCGCCAAATAGCGTGCGTTCTATACACACATGCGAGGTTTTTATGACCTCCTAGTCGTTGCGAAAACAGCGAATACATATGTGCCAAGTGTCGTGTGAGTCCTCAAATCGTGAGGGACAACAATGTAACGTAATATTTTAAAAAACTTGCACTTCGCATATTTTCTCTGCTGGGCGGAAAAACATTGAATCATGGGTATGTAATCTAACCTGTCTCAAACCCTTTCCATAGTCCAACATTAATTCTTATCACAATCCTATGTAACTTAACCTAATTAGCTCAAACCCTTTCCTTAACGTTACCAAACCCTTTTACTAACCTAACTTTTATTCTAACCCTAACCCTTCCTAACCTGTCCCAAGCCTAACNCCTTTTACTAACCTAACTTTTATTCTAACCGTAACGCTTCCTAACCTGTCCCAAGCCTAACCAAACCCTTTCCCTAACCTAACCAAACCCTTTCTCTAACATACCTTAATGTTATGCTAGAGTTATTATTTAGTTATTGCTCCAGCTCAGGTTACTGTTTTGTGCAGTGGCTAAAAAGTAATTTAAAAAAAGTAAGAAAAGGAGATGGTGGATGGTAAATAAACCAAAGCAGAAAACGGTAAATATTGTACCAAAAAACTATTAATTTTTGTTTGTTTGAACCTATATTATTTATATGATTTTTTATTTGAAAATTACGTGAAAAATTTCTACTTTTTTACGCATAGAAGTGTGTTGTTAAGTTGATTTTGTTTTTTGTGGGTATATGGGGGGATTGGGGATGTGCACAAAATTTCCCTTTTTATTCCCAGTTAACATTCTGCAGTGTTGTATCTTCCTATCAATTTTTCTTTCTATCAAATGGGTCCCGTTACATAAACCGTCTCTAATGCATTAATTTCTTACTATACATCATGCTTTTAAGTGCAGTTCTGCAGGAGGCAAACCCAAGGTGTCATTGATTGTAAATAGTCAATGAGATACTGTAAACTTACGTTTTCTTGGTCGGCTTTGTCACCAGCTGGTGGACTTATCGTGATCCACGTAAAGATACTTAACAATTTGCGCTGGTCGTGTTTTCATTTTGATTTATTTTTTTCTCTTCATTAGTCATCAGTCTTTTCAGGAAGGCTATATTGTTTTATTGTCATTCGTTTGTTTTCAATCAAATCTGGAATGATGAACAGTGCAGTAGCTTCATTAGTGTTCGTTTGATTGGTCTTTAAATTGTTCCCCAAACATCGGTCCATCTACTTCTCCACTCATTATTAAATAAACAAAGAAATGCCTCCATCTATTTGGCATCATTTCTGGAGCAACATAGCTCATCATTCGAACAAATTATCCGATTCCCACAATCCCGCCGTGTAATAGCTTTTGCGTCTCCCTAAGCAATATTTTCTGATGAAAACTTTTGAAGTCTCTCAGTGAAACGATGTTCAGTCGTGCCACAACTTTGCACGTTTTTACGTACATGTCATTCCTTTTGCTCAGTTTTCCGCGTGTAATGAAATGGAATTTGTGAATACGTATATTGCCGAGCATACTTACGTGTTTTATCCAATTCAAAATAAGCTTTTGTTGATGTTTTATTCGACGTCATGTTCCTTTCCCTCTGATATGTAATATGATTTTGTCAGGGTCACGTTGTGTGACCGTGCATGCACTGGAAATTCAATACCACGCACTTTCCGTTTCACCTACGTTTCTAGAACCTATGTACTATTGAACTTCATCACGCATGTCATCTTTACTTACGGTGATACTAGCCTTTTTGAATATATTTGTAAATGGATTTGATACTCATGGCAGAAACACAATACTCAACAATAATGTGGAGGTCGTGAGGTCATTGTGAGACTCTCAACACGACAGACAAAAATGACACATCTACACGGAAAACAAACACTTTGAGCCCTGAAGATGATCTCAACAAAGATCGAAACATTGGCACGATAAAGAAAATGTTTTTCTAAAATCTACGTCACACCAGACCGCGTCTCACGACCTCCAAATAATCATCAAGTAACCGGTCACTAAACACCATACATAAATGTGACTGTCAAAACGTTTAAGTAAGTAAGGATGGTAAAATGCAATAATCGATTTGCCTACGCAAACAATTTTTATCTATATTTTCCATGATATGTGTTACAGACTAAACGGTTGTCTCTTCGTAGTAGGTTTTGTCATTTCGGTAGCTTCTATAAATGGTTTTAGAAACTTTTTCGAACTGATCCCAACACGATGACTGCTTAAAACGTGAGAAGCATGTGACATCAGCGTAGTAGTGCGGATTCTAATTCCATAAAGCAAGCGTCACGAGCGGGATTCGAACCCACTACCTCCGGCTCAATAAGCCGGTGCTCTAACCACTGAACTTTTTTCCTTAGAATTTAAATTTTTTTTAAATTTTTTAGACAACGACTTAATTATTAAACGTTAAAAACGTGAAACTTGAATTAATATAAGAAAATATATACAAATCAAGTTATATTACAAGTGGGAGGAATTTTTTGCCTGTCAGTGTATAATGTATGAAGGAATTTATTTTGAACAGTTTGAACAAGTTTTATATGAGTGTAGTAGTGCGGATTCCAGATGATGAGGCATGTTCACGAATAGGTCGAAAAAGTGAATTATATAGATTGACATAGGTTAGATATAATTAGGATTTTTGAACAGACAGGTACTTCGAATGATAAAACCTATCATTTTAAAGGAGCGATTTTTGATTTCTTGTATAGGTAAGATTACTATCAAAGATGACGCCAAGATCTCCAATACAGGTTACTCTAGTTAACAAGTTGTAATTAATGGTATAAGAGTGGAAGATAGGAAATTTTTTGTAAGAAAAAGTGATAGTAAAACATTTACAATTATTAAATTAATCCATATTTGCTTAGTGGTCATAATTGACCATATTAATTATTCTTTTTATTGAAGGTTTTTGGTTGAGATGAAAAATTAGTGTTACGAGCGGGATTCGAACCCAAGACCTTCGGCTCAATACGCAGCTGCTTTAACCACTTGAGCTATCGTGACTGCGATATCGACGCCTTAATCGAATGCACAATAAATTTTTGTGTAGTTAGGTCGTCAGCGAATAGAAAAAAAACTCGTTACCAGACCGAGCAAAGTGATAAAACAGAAAAGGGAAGAGATCTGAAAGACCTGATTTTAACTACACTGACAGGCAAAAATTACACCCAATTGATTTTTTTTCCTTTGTCTCATTGTTTTTATCCAATATTTGCTTCTGTTGTGTTTTAAAATGGGAATATCAATTAGAGATAAACAATCCAAAACAAGGATAAAGGATTTTTAAATGTTTACTTTTTATGGAATTTAAAAGGTTTATTCGGTTATAAAGTTTATTCTTGCCCACACCTGACGGACCCAGCAACACGATGTTCTCCTGGCGCTCAATAAATGACAGTCCAGCCAGCTCCGAACGAAGAACACCTCTGGCATACTTGTAATCAAACTGCTCCAGCGTCTTTATTACCGGTAGCCCAGATAAGCGAATATCGTTTGACGCCGGCGTTCAGTAAGTCCCCCTACTGGAGCCGTAAAACAGACTCTATAAACTTAGCGTAGACTGTTGTCGACAGTAACCTGTTAGCACATGGCTTACCGGGCGCGCTAAGTTCGCTTTGCGAAATTTTCAATATCAAGGCAGATAAAGCCAAAGATAAAGAAGGTAAAGCCCTTATCTCTTTATTTTGCAAGCCGCGCCCTAAAAACAGCGAAATACAAAGAGCCACCGCCTTAACGCACAGAGAGGAACGGCAACGGGTTAATAGCCTAAAATCAGGCTATTAGATTAAAAACGCACCATTTAATAGAATTTCAACCAATAGCAGATTCAATAAATGAATTATGTCACCTTTTTGCGATAAATGACTTGTTTTGATCTTCACCTAAAAATCGATTCAATTTCCTAACCATGAACCAGATGCCATCGCCAGTGTACCTAAATCGCAGCGATGGTAAATGGATTGATAGAAAATCTCTTGCAATGGTAATATCTCCCAAATCGCTGAGGGTGATGCTCTTATTGATGGTGGACGTTTCCTACAGCGTAACATCAGGACTAGCCCGTTCTCCAGACGTGAACCCCGTCGAAGATTTATGGGATAACCTCAAAAGACGAATAAGAGCACGTCCATCACTTCCTGATACACTCCTTGATCTTGAAAGGGCCAACCTCCAGCAAAAAGACTGGTAGAAAGTACGCCGAGGCGTCTTCGAGATGTAATTAAGGCAAAAGGAGGAAATTCCCCATATTGAAATGTTGATTAAAAATATAAAAAAATTAACATATTAAAAAACAAAATTAAAACAAATTTTCTTTTTTTTTCATTTTCCTTAGCAATTTATTTTTTTAACTTTTTTAGAGAAAGACTCAATTATAAATAAACTCAGATAAAACAGAAAAGGGAAGAGACCTGATTTTAACTATTTGGGCGCGTATAGATAAATAATAAATAAGATAGCCAAAGCTGTAGATTTCCAGATATTCCATTCCGTTCTAGCTTGTTATATCATAAACATTGTAATGGGTTTTTAATGGTCAGATTTAAAGACAGTGGGTCTTTCGGTCAAATGTTTCATATGTTTTCATATGTCATATGCCAGTTTTGAAGTGAATTGGGCCGCGTCTTCAGCCGAGCGGCGGCGACTGTTGCCCGCTTCGTCAAATGGAATTTGTCCAATGTTTAAAGGTCAATGTAACTTGCAGTGCCTGGTGAAGGGGGCTCCCGCTAGGAGCGTCAACGCGTCCCATTCTCCAGGCGGACGGCATCGGCTTCTGCCGGCGATTCGACGAACGCCCCCCCGCCGCTCATTCGCACGTCGCGATCACCGCCGACTCTTCAGTTTCAGTGCGCCCTCCGAAGCCGTCGCTTACCCTAAACCACCTGCGGAAGAACCACAAAAAGTGAAGTTTTTATTATGAACTTTTTCAATTTTTAAAAATTTCCGTTTTTCAAAAACTTCGATCGACATGGATCCGTTCAGCATTGACAAGTCTTTCTACGAGATCTCCAGCGACCTCAGGGACCTCTGGGATACCGACATGGACTCTGTGAGTACCTGTTCCTCGATAAACCGGCTTTTTTTTTCCCTACACTTTCAATACATTTTCATAACTCGGGGGGGGGGGGAGGCAAAAAAAAGTCAGTAAGCACAAATTAAAGTACACTCGATTAAAGTCCATAAAATACCCATAAAAACCGCATATTTTAAATTATGTCCTATTAACATCTCTACGAGAATCTTTGATACTCGACAATACCAGTTTCTTTGGAATAAACACAAAGATAACATCACCCAGCTTTTATGCATCTGATTGTTTACATAACCCTAACCTGAAAATTTTTGCAATTTTATTCCCTTATAAAAAAAACAGTAAAAATTAAAATCCTTAACTCGTCAAATTAAATTTTGATCCTATAATAATAGGCCCAACTATGATCCTAGATGTAACTGTATCTACTATTGTATTATTTTCGACTGCAATACTCAGAAGTCTCGCTCAAATTTACAGTTGCGAGGTAAATTTTTGAAAAATAGCGTTCAACCGGAAGGCCTAGTGAGATAATTGTGAAGAGCGACCTTTACAGGGGATTCACATAGATTTGTAGTGAAAGGCCGGCAACTTTCGTTCCTAGGTCGTTCCCAGGTCGTTCCCATTATTCGTTATACTCGTCGTAATCATAACTATTTTTCCTCTTACTTAGACTCAGAACGTTTCACGTCGGGTCATTGCCCATTAAGCACGGCCTTGGCTAAGAAAGAATTCTTCATTTTATCGAAATTTCTTTAAAATCTATAAAAGTTTTCAGTTCGTCGTGTCGAACACTTCAATGTTCAATTATGATAGATAACGCCTACTCAGGTTCTACTTGTTGACAGTGATCTATCTCGATCTTTTCAAGTCTTCACGATTGATTATTTTGTTGGTTTGATTGGATAAATTTACGTTTTATAAGTCTTCATTTATGTAGAGAATTCTTTTTTTGATATTAATCTTGAGATTTATTGTTGCGATGATAGTGTTCGCTCTGTCTGTTTTGGTCTGTCGGATGTGTTACTGTTTGGGTCTGTCCAAAACACCGCGAGGACAGGCAGACCAAAACGACGGAAAACGACCAACAGGTTACCCAGCACAGCCCACGAGGAAAACTCACGATTAAACATTATTATTTTTTGATCCTATCATTGACCAATCATCTCGGCCTGCCATCATCGCTGATGTTTGTTGTTTCAGACGCGTTTCGGTATTTCACCATCTTCGCTGTTTTCTTTTTACTACGTAATTTTTGTTTATAATTTATTACATATTTCAACCCAGATTTTTTTTTTTTTTATGGTCGAAAAATTTTTATATAATTTATTTTTATACATTCAGCAAAGATTTACCCCAGAAGGTGTTTTATCAACATTTCTATGAAAGTATTTTGCTGATCGTCGACGCCACTTTAGTCTTAGGAGCGCGTATGTGGATGCGATAAGGACGGCCTGCTGGGAGGGTGAAAGAGGAAGAAGGAAGATAGTGTGATGACCTTGGGAAAGACCACTATCTTCTTCAGTTAGGGTCAAAGCCTCAGAGGCACCACCACCATCACAGCGGCCGGTTCACCTCCGCCACGCCCCTTTAAAAACATCCATTCATTCATATTTCTTGCTCTCCTTATCCTGCAGACGCCGTTTTTTCCTCTCTCCGACCTTTTTTTCCTCCAACCACTTACCCTTAACGGTCCCCGCCTTTTCCGCGAAGGCGGATGGACGTCCGGATTCCCTTTTAATTTTTAAATCCCACGACGAAATCCGATTTGAAAGCTTTTTTTAACTTAGAATCTCATTCCGGGGATTTTCGGTTCGGTGGTCGAAAGTCGGCTATCTCATTCCCGGCGCTCGGGTCTATGAATTTTTTTGAATGTTCAGTTTTCAAGATAGTGGACAAACGGAGGACAATCTCAACCTGACTAACTATTCCGAACTAACTCCAGGATGGGGTGGGTCATATCACACAGAGGAGAGCCTAAATCCCTTAATTCTGTGTGTGAGAGAAAGAGAAAGACAAGAGAAAGAAAGAGAGCGTGAGTGAGAAAGTTGTGTGTGAGAGAGAGAGAGAGAGAGAGAAAGGGAATGAGCAAGGGAATGTGAGAGGGAGTGAGTGAGAGAGGGTGAGTGAGTGAGAGAGGGTGAGTGAGTGAGTGTGTATNAGAGAGAGAGAGAGAGAGTGAGAGGGTGAGAGAAAGTGAGTGAATGTAGGATTGACTGAGTGAGAGAGGGATTTCTTTTTAGTAGCTGAGGTGTTTTGAAATAATATTACAAACCAAAAACACCTAATAAGAATTTTTTCTAAAAAAAATATATAATGAAGATTACTTGCTACTTTTAGTTTGAAAATTTTTAAAAATATAAAATAATTGGGCTGAATGTTTTCAAAATTTAACTATCCCAATTATGTTTATAATTTAAAAAAATCTCCAATTAAAAAAAGAATCGTCGGTTTTTTACATTTAATTTTATATAATTTTTCATTTTAATTGTAATTAATTTTCATATGGTCTTCTAAGAGCCCGATAATTTTATATAAAATATACAGGAATTTTAGTTTATATAAGTATATTTCATTCTCTAAGTTTTTCGTTATCTCGTAAGTGTTTTAATGCCTTAAAGAAAGAGTTAAATTGGAGTTTAAAAGGATTAATTTCAAATTTAAAAAAGTTTATTTTGACGGAAAAAAGCTTTGCAGTGAAACCTCTTGCCAAAGGACAGTCATATTGTCACTAATTTTGTCCTCTTTCGGAAGGTGTCCTCTTAACTCCTCTCTTTTATCATACGAGGATAAATAGTCGTATATGTGTACTCAGTGCGGATACTAAACGTCAGGTGTAGATTTAGATGTACATTTTCAATCAGTTCACTTTTCCGTTGATGGAGCATGTCCCAAAATGGAATGAGACATACGCTTTTATTTTTTATTAATACTTTACTTATCTATATCTGTGTCTGTAGGCACCTCAATAAATATATTTGAGTTTCATCTGTTTATACAGATCAATACATTGGGCAGACCTGGGTCCTATTTTAACGTCTAACAGGCTGAGTAGATCAGGATTTGAGGGAGTCTCGAGAGGATTGTGCCTGGCCACGCTAGTCTTTTATATCTGTTCGCCTGGATTCAATATCAATCCAAGAAAGTAAATTAATATTGTTATAGTTTTGGTTTTACGCTATTTTGCTGATCCTCGAGTCATTGTTCATAAAAAAAAAACGCCGACGCGATTATAATAAAAGTCATATCAGCTCTTTCCTTCGATTGCGAAAGGAGGAAGTCGAGACGTACCCAAAATCGGCTTTTATTGTTCTATGACGATGTAGTTCTTCGTCGATTGGCCGTCTTCCGATGAAATTGTTAATTTGAACGCCGGTACATCAGGACAGGAAATATACATGTGGATAAATTCTAGAAGTGCTAGACGTTTATGCTAAAACAAGAGTGGCAACCTCACTGCTACAGTCACAGAGGGATAAACTCAGAGAACATTAAAATTTGCCGGTCACTGCACCTGAGAAAACATAAAACGGGTATGTTCAAAGATCGGTCGATTGCACTGAACTAAGGAACTAGGAAAGTACAATAAACTAGAAGGCTGCAGTGCTTGGGGAGCAAAAACCCCTACTTCCTAGTATCCGTATTCATCATCATCATCAGTTGTTTGGTTGGAAAGAAGAACCTGATAAGCGAGCATCCCCTTCCGATCTCACCAACTGTTCAACCCTCTTGGGATGTTACCCGGCTTTTGGAGTTGTTAAAGGTGGGTCGCTGCGTTTTCCCCAAGCATTTTCATGTCTGAACATTGCTGATAACTTTCAGTTCATAAAACGTTATCAATCTTGTTAAAAATGAGTTTTAGAATGGAATCGCAGGTGGAGATCAAATAAATTATTCTCAACTCTGGCAATGGAAGCTCGAGCTGATCTCAGATATGTTTTATGAGATAAATTAAGTGCCCATGCGATGTCTTGTATCGTAATTGTGACAAAAGATTGCATTTGGTTTTTTCCGCCTCTGAACCGAGCATACTTTTGGACGGTACTTTCTCTCAAAGCGCCATCATACACATCACAAATTTTCATAGTAGCTGAGCTAAAAAGCAACAATTAAATGATGAAAATGAACAACTTTTCCCCTTCATTTTACCACTTATTTTACAACCCAAAATTTTTATTTATGTGTAGTGATTAGTCGATGTATCGAGTGATTAATCGGAAATCGTCAGATGCGGTCTGGTGTGGTGTAGGTTTCAGAAAAACATTTTCTTTATCGTGCCAACGTTTCGATCTTTATTGAGATCATCTTCAGGGCCTGGGATTTACAAACATCGTTTAAATTTAACAAATACGTGTAGTATGTGGAAAAAGCGATTTTATACAATGCAAAAAATATTTTTTATATTCAATCATTACGCAGAAAACGAACACTTTGAGTGAGTAAAAATACCTTGATTGAATATAAAAAATATATAAATTAATTTTTTTCCACATCCTACATGTATTTGTTAAATTTAAACAATGTTTGTAAATCCCAGGCCCTGAAGATGATCTCAATAAAGATCGAAACGTTGGCACGATAAAGAAAATGTTTTTCAAAACCTACATCACACCAGACAGCATCTCACGATTTCCGAATAATCAGTTTTATTTATATGGACATTACAAAGTCCAAAGATCTTACAGAGTCTGCAGAGTAGGATGTGGATCTATTAATTTGTTCTTTATAGAACCGTACAATCTGTTCGGGTTTTGACTCCATTTTTTCAACGATTCCTTGCTGCAACTACAGCCCATGGTTTTCTAAACTTTTTTAATTATTTCAAACATATTGATTGCACTTTAAGCCAGGTAGCACTTTTTCGTTGGTAGGTGTGGTTTCTGGCCCGATAGATCTTGAACTTTGCCATCGATAGCCCGATGGTATAGTTATTTACTTCTGATGATTTAGGCTGGATATATAACTCATCGCGGTGGAAATCGGCGATATAAACAGTCGCACCTTCTGGATGTTAGATT